CTTCATACCTGCTCTGATCACTAAACATCTAAAAATGGTATATTATTGTCCTTTTACATCTCCATTGTCTACTTAACAGTGTAGTCAATCTGGTTGATTAGGAGCAAGAAATTATCTCAACTATCCCTGCCATACTGTTACATGGCAAAGTAGTCATCCATACATCTAACTAGTAGGCTGAGTGTCAATCTTATCTCTCCCATGAAGTGTTTTTCTATTCTTGACAGATAATTATTAGCTAAAAGGGGAGCCAAGCAAGATCCCATTGCTAGGCCTTGCACCTGTTTATAAACCTTATCATTTAAAGTGAAATATGTACTACTCATGGATAGATTAAGTAGTCTTAAAACTGAGCTTTTGCTCTGATTTGCTTCCTCAATATTTTCTGAGCGTTGATCTAGGCTGCGTGCTGGCGATTCAATAGCCTTCTAAACTGGAATATTTGTATACTTTGAGGCCATAGCAAAACTCTTCAAAAGGTTTCCCCCTTCTTCTACTCTGTTGATCTATCAGTCTAACAAATTCATATGAATTCTTCACTTAAAGACAATAATGTACCTTCTTTGGATGTAGTAGGGATTAGATCAAGTGAAAGTTTTAGCAGAAAGCAAGCATATGCTGGCTTTATCCTTAATTTTTACTCTAACAATGATTGTAAGACAAAGGTTGGTATTTTAAAATCTATGATTAGCCGGAGCATAAGACTAGCCGATAGAGACCATTGAGAGAATAAATTGGATCTGCAAAAACTAATATTTCTTGAGAATAATTATCCCTTAGGTCTGATTGAAAATAACATTGGATTAATAAAGATAGATAGAGGAGAGATAAGGAGACCTTTTACCATGTTTGAGCTTTGCTATTGTGCATTCTGGCTAAAAGGATAGAGTCATTTATCTGTGCTTTTAGCACACTCTTTCTCTCCCCCATCAAGAGAATAAAGCCTCATCAACATAACCAGACTTGTGTCTGACTTTGAGCAATCGGTATGATAGTCAAAATATATAAAGTAAGGAGGTGATGGTGGTCATCAGACCTTGATGGCCATAAAGAGAAGTTACTTTTGCTTTCTAATTACTTTAAGCCATGCCTTCCGGTTTTGTACATATGAGTAGACACGTATGACTCGATCCAGCCAAATCACTGTATACTTCATCAAAGAACTCATGCATAGAGTATATATACAACATTTTATGGATGAGTCGATAAGTTTTCTTGACTCATCAGCTTGAATATGGTTGTAAGGCTGATACCTGCTCTGTTGATGTCCGTCGTCCTTATCGGAACCGAAGGAGACTACCTCGGAAACAGCGTCACCAAGAGTGTTCCGTTACAGCCTATTGATGGTGCCGTGCTCTTCTGGTGGGATCGACCTTCGAATGTCTACACCAAACATTTTTCATCAAAATGGAAGAAGCCCAGCAATCATGTAACAAGTGATTACTCGAAATCCAACTTTCCTTCGCATATATTAAATATATATCCTTTTGTCCCTATTAATTGCTTACATACAACCTATTATTTGTGCTTTATTAGTCAATAGCTAGATACCAAACGTTATGCTTGTAGAACATGAATAGGCTAAATTTTTATGCTCTATTCTATAGTGAATTTTCAATGGACCTCATCCTATTGCCACTATCAGACAGTAGACCACAAACAAAGAGTTTTTGAATATATGAAGACCAAGATGTTGTGGCCTCTCTCATGGTCGCAGTTTTCTTTCGATTTATAGAAGTGGGTTGACCTCGTTGTCGCAACTTGGTCTTGTTGTCAGGGCGATTATGTAGAACGCATCTAGTCCCAAGTCGTCTACTATAGTAGTTGTCATGATTTCAAGTTTTTGTTTGAATCGGATAGACTATGATCTAATTTCAATGGAAGTATAATATGCATTTCTCTAGTATACTATATATATATATATATATGTATGTATGTATACTATATCTATAACTTTAAATTAGGCCTCTTTTACGATAAATCAGATAAGCTTTCTTCTATGCAAAATAATTCTTTATTTTTATATTTATTATCATCTGTACCCACTTTTGGGTTAGTGAAACTGTTGGTCTAGACTTCGCTTTGAGCCAGATCCTTTTGCCTGCTCTCAGGCCTTGCATCAATTGCATCGATACTAAGGCCCGCAAGGCGGCGGCACATGTTTTGCACAGTCTTTGTGAACTTGTTCATCAGTCGATTGACCCTACCAGTTTACAGCAAATGAAACCAAGTCTGTCTGATCAGTCAGAAGAGGTGCTGACCATCTCCAAACCAGTAGACGCATCCCGCTCTGAGATTTCGGAGGAAAGATTGGCAGTCACTGCTAAGGTCTTTGCCCAATTAATAGAATTGTTGTCTCAACTGGTTGGAGATGACAACTTGACTTTTGATGGTAAGCGAGTAGCTGGTTACTCGTCTTGTAAATAGTGTGTATCATAGTTATATATTTGCATGATTTTGCATATTTGCACAAAGTTAACGTTCTATAATAACAGTTGTTAGATGTAAAAATTATTTGTGAATTAATTAATTAGGCTTATATCTGTTAGTATTAACACTTTTTGTAGTAAATCCATTCTTATATCCAATATGTTCTTTCAAAGCACAAATATGTAACATATTCATTCAATATTTTTAATAATAAAGGGGAAAGCACTGATTGGGGCGTTTTGGCAGTTTCACTCGGCCCTCTCGCATGTCTGCTCAGAACAATCCACAGCCTGCTTAGTCAATTCCCGACCTGTGGAGCGTCATCAATCCCAACTTCTTCGTCCTCATCGCCCTCTTTAGCGCCTCGGTTCGACAAGCCCAGCTTCACCAAATCAATGC